CAGGAGACAGGAGGAGGCAGGAGACAGGAGGAGGCAGGAGACAGGAGGAGAAAGGAGGAGACTCGTTTGGTTTCACAGATGTATAGTTCCCTGTCAGAGTCCCTACGTTGCACCAAGCTGACGACATTCACAAGAGTTTCTGAAGGTCAACATGTTGAGAAGAGGTGCAGGTGAGCCCAGAACAGAATTCAGTGACCTTCAGCCCCCCGACTCAGCTTCCATGGAGGAAGCTGTGCTGGGGGGCTTCAGGGTTGGTCTGTACATAACCGTGGCTGAGGTAGTTAAAAGCTACGTGGCGGGGGGGCGGATGAGATCTGCCCCGATTTCATTAAGGCTCTAGATCAGTGATCCTCACTATTTATTAAAAACAGCCATATTGACAGATCAAAGTGAAATATTGACAGATCAAAGTGAAATATTGACAGATCAAAGTGAAATATTGACAGATCAAAGTGAAATATTGGCAGATCAAAGTGAAATATTGGCAGATCAAAGTGAAATATTGACAGATCAAAGTGAAGGGGAGAGCCGTGACATCACTCCAGAGTCTGGACGTTGTGGGGCTGTCTGGGTTGACACGCCTTTGCAACATTGCGTGGACATCGGGGGCAGTGCCACTGGATCGGCAGACTGGGGTGGTGGTTCCCCTCTTCAAAAGGGGGACCAGAGGGTGTGCTCCAATTACAGGGCATCACTCTCCTCAGCCTCCCAGTAAGGTCTGTCCAGGTACTGGACAAGAGTCTGATCGTTGGTTGAACCTCAGATCCAGGAGGAACAATGTGGGTTCTGTCCTGGACGTGGAACACTGGACCAGCTCTTTACCCTCACTAGGGTCCTTCAGGGGTCATGGGAGTTTGCCCATCCAGTCTACATGTGTTTTGTGGACTTGGAGAAGGCGTTTGACCGTGTTCCTGGGGGTCCACTGTGGGGGCGCTCAGGGAGTGTGGGTCCATTGTTATGCGCTGTTCAGTCCCTATACAAGCGGTGCGAGGGTTTGGTTCCCATTGCCGGCAGTAGGACTGGGCGATATGTCGATATTTTAAAACTACTGAGATAATTTCATACAAGATATAAAATGATAAAACTTGTAAATGAGTCTTGGAGGCTCAATGTGACTGTTTAAATAAAGGTTGAACGAATGAGACTATCGATGTAAAACGATGTGGTCCATGTAGAGTTATAATTATCCACCAGTTTTCCTCCCAGTGTGCGCCTTCACACCACCCCTCCCCCGCCGCTTGCTGCAGCTGATCACTTTATTAGAATTATAAATCTGTTAGATATGCAGGTCTTTGTTGACGCACAGAGGGACAGCCGCTGTCAATTCCTGAAGGACGTTAAAATGACAGTAGCTGCTACACAGCAGAGGCTTGGTGTTCTCCAGGAAATGAACTGGTTTACTGTGGCACGGTAGAAGTTGTCCTCATTCAAAAACATGCAGACAAATATCCAGTTGAGGGGGATTTACTGTGTTTCTGCTGGTATTTACATACAGCAGTAAACCAGTAAAGCACAACTCAAACCGGCTCCGTCCGTGTCGGGAAACACACAAACTCCGACCGACACACACAGTTCTGCACGTTACACAGAGCGGTGCGTTCACCAGCGTCGGAACAGCTGCGGTGCATTCAAGAGCATAGGTAGGAACTATTAAAACACAGAAAGCAACGAGCCGTAACCAGCTGATCCGAGGTCAGTAAAGGAGCCGACTACACAACAACGTGGCTTTCTAACAGCTTTGTTCATAAAGGTTACTAAAGGTTGAATGGACATCATTACACTCAGACTTTTTAAAGAGCAAGTCATTATTATTTCATTATGTTCACTCTGTACCTGCTCACATTTCAAGTGCACAGATGCTTCAGGTTTTGTTATGCAGGAAAAATATACTTTGATTTTGAGACATTTATTTTGTACAGTTACAGCTGTTTGTTCATAAATGTGCCTGTGTGATGAATGGGACAAAGCTATATTATATATTATATATATATATATATAATTACAAACCGGATTCCAAAAAAGTTGGGACACTAAACAAATTGTGAATAAAAACTGAATGCAATGATGTGGAGATGACAAATGACAATATTTTATTCGTAATATAACATAGATGACAGATCAAAAGTTTAATCTGAGTAAATGTAACATTTTAAAGGAAAAATATGTTGATTCAAAATTTCACAGTGTCAACAAATCCCAAAAAAGTTGGGACAAGTAGCAATAAGTGGCTGGAAAAAGGAAACTGAGCATATAATGAACAGCTGGAAGACCAATTAACACTAATTAGGTCAATTGACAACATGATTGGGTATAAAAAGAGCTTCTCAGAGTGTCAGTGTCTCTCAGAAGCCAAGATGGTAAGAGGATCACCAATTCCACCATTGTTATGCAGAAAGATAGTGCAGCAATACCAGAATGGTGTTACCCAGCGTAAAATAGCAAAGACTTTTAAGTTATCATCATCAACCGTGCATAACATCATCAAAAGATTCAGAGAATCTGGAACAATCGCTGTGCGTAAGGGTCAAGGCCGTAAAACTCTACTGGATGCTCGTGATCTCCGGGCCCTTAAACGTCACTGCACCTCAAACAGGAATGTCACTGTCAAGGAAATAACAGAATGGGCTCAGGAATACTTCCAGAAAGCATTGTCAGTGAACACAATCCACCGTGCCATCCGCCGTTGCCAGCTGAAACTCTACAGTGCAAAGAGGAAGCCATTTCTAAGCAAGCTCCACAAGCTCAGACGTTTGCACTGGGCCAGGGGTCATTTAAAATGGAGTGTGGCAAAATGGAAGACTGTTCTGTGGTCAGATGAGTCACGATTTGAAGTTCTTTATGGAACACTGGGACGCCATGTCATCCGGACCAGAGAGGACAAGGATAGCCCAAGTTGTTATCAACGCTCCGTTCAGAAGCCTGCATCACTGATGGTATGGGGTTGCATGAGCGCTTGTGGCATGGGCAGCTTGCATGTCTGGAAAGGCACCATTAATGCAGAGAACTATGTTCAGGTTCTAGAACAACATATGCTCCCATCTAGACGTCATCTCTTTCAGGGAAGACCCTGCATTTTTCAACAC